CTCTCCTCTCTCTCCCCACCCACCTGTCCTAGGTTTCGGCTGTTAATAAGGCAGTTTTCCTTGCCCCTGTCTCCAAGGTCTTGCTCATGGTGGAACTGCGTTCCCCCCCCGGGTGCCCCACTGTCCTCTCAGGCCTCAGGGTTTGTACCTGATGCACTCTCCTTCAGTAATCCATCTGGGCCACTGTAGCTCGGTGCTTACCTCTGCGTAAACGAAGAGCGGCAGAACCAGAACCGCCAGCAGCAGGTCTGCAAACGCGAGACTGACTATGAAGTAGTTTGTGGTCGTTTTTAAAGCCTTCTCCAAGTGCACGCTGAGGCACACGAGCACGTTCCCTCCGGTGATGATCACAATCAGCAAAATCCCGAATATGAGCGCTGGGAAATTGTAGTTTGTGACCGGAGCCGCCGGCAGCGTGTCGTTGTTGAAATCAGTGGAGATGTCCGACATGGTCGCCGGTGTTCGGCCGTGCGCCGCAGACTGACGGGCTCCTTGTCCGACGGAGAACGACCCTCTCCGGAGCAGTTTTCATCTATGAGCCGTATCCAGCAGCCCTGAGATAAGTGTGAGCGTTACATGTGAAGTCTGTGTGAGTTTCCCCGTGAGGACGCTCATCGGAGGCGCTCCCCTTTGCGCACTGAACCCCGTGCGCTCCGCTCTCCAAACGCAAAGCCTCGCAGCGCACAGTTACCAGACTCTGCTTTATCCGCCTGATCCGGTCCTTGTTTCACTTCTCTTCTACATTTACCGGGCTGATGCTGCAAAACTCCCGTAGCATTATGTGGATCAGCCTCCCTGCCGTCTCCTTAGCCTGCTCCCGAGGGAATAAGTTAGCAGAGTGGACGAATCAGAAGGCGAGAGCATAAATCCGTCTGCATAAATCTGCTTACTGAGGCTCTGCTGCTCGCACACAGTTAACAATCACAGCAGGATACAGAATCAGAGGTTTCTCTAGGAAAAAACGAACAATATGGAAATCAGCTGCACTTTAACAAAATCACTTCACATGTATCACAACTGGAACTCTGCGCAGGTTTACAGGTTGAACTCAGAGTATGATGAATAAAACTGAATAAATATGCATGAAAACTTAAATTGGACATTTTGTAGTTTTTATGTGAAGCTGCAAACTGAAATATATTTAAATTATGTTGAAATTCTTGCATTTCTTGTTTATAGTTGATATTGTCATAATGATTGTTTTATTACTGATATTGCCTTTAATATTTCTGTCCATGTAAAGTGCCTTTAAGTACCCTTTTAAAGCGCAATATAAAATAAATGTATTATTAGAATTAGTTATGTAACCCACATCTGAATATTAATCTAAAAAACTTTCTAAACATAAGTAGCTGGTTTAATGTAGGTCTATCAATTAGCTTCTTCCCTCCTGTATTTTACACTGTAATTAGTTAGTTTAACTCAAAGAAACTTAATTTTGTAACTTGAAGATTCTGGATTAAACGGCTTTTTCAAGTAATTTTAAGTGACACTAACTTAGTTTTGGAAGTTATGGAAACAATCCTGATTAAGTACTTTTTATTAGGTATTGTGTTTTCACAGTACAAATAAAATTTACAAAATTAAGTTAGGGTTACTAAAACAAAAACGTTATTGAACTTAAACTATGTTAGTTTTACTTTAATTTTAGTTAAATGAACTTCTGGTTTTACAGTTATGGTCAGTGTAGTGGAGGAAGTATTCAGAGTCTGTACCACACTGATAAAGTAAGTATAAAAGTCACACATTTTTATCTATGGATCAAGAAAACACACCAGTCAGATGGAAAATATGTTAAAGTGAGCAGATTTATTACCACATGTAACATAAAATTGAACAACAACAACCAGAATTGGTGCAAAATAGACCAAAAAATGTCATATTTACAGTAAAAAACCCACCGATGGCTATAAGAATGAATTAAAATTTAATGTCAGGTTGATCCACAATAACATCACCAGAATAAAAATACCCTTTATGTTATTAGCTGTGAAGCAAGGCAAGTACAAGTATCTCAAAAAAGTAATTAATTGAGTGAGTTTTATGTTTTTCTCTGTTGTTCAGGTGCAGTATTGTCCAGACGATTATCACATTAAAAATACAGCGTACAGTACATGTAGGACACATTTTGTGTGTGCTCTTCTCTGCGTGAGGGGGAACGTGTTGCAGCTCTGGGCTTGCTCACTGTGGGTGAACATGCAGAGGTACAAAGCTGTTGAGTGGATAAGCAGCATGAAGCAACACATAAAGAAATGTGCAGGTTGTTCACCTCCAGTGTGTCAACAGAGGGAGTCGATCTGTGAGAGTGAGCTGACAGCTGGAGGAGGATTTCAAAGGAAACACAAACTGAGAACTAGATACAGTGTTAGACACCAACTGTGGATAAAGTACTGTTGTTTATGCTACGACTGTACTAATGCTGCTGCTAATGCTGCTGTTAATACTGTTCTACTGCTGCATGCTACTATTCTTCTACTATTACTTCTGATGCTAGTATTCTATTAATGCTCTTCCACTACTAGTACTGCAACTACTTCTATGACTATATGACTACTGCACTAATACTGCTGTTCTACATCTACTCTAATTCTAATAAGTACTTTTATTGTACTTCCACTGATACATTTACTACCACTATCCTACCACTACTACAATTTATATGACTACTAATACTAGTACTACTACCTTTATTACTATTACTGCTACCACTGCTTTACTGCAATGCTTAGTACTACTACAACTACTACTACTTATACTACTACTTATACTACTACTACTTCTGTGACGACCTACGGACACTATTATTACGTCTTTACCCTTTTGCTGCTGCTACTACAAGTACTATTAATACAACTACAAGTACTCTGCTACTTCTACGGCTATTGATACTAATTCTGATAGTACTGCAAATACTACAACTACTGTCACTACAACCTCTACTAACACAATGACTACCTACAATTTTACTATTGTCATACTACTGCTACTACTTATATTCCTGCTACTAATTATACTACTTCTACTACTACTTATACTACTACTACTTATACTACTACTACTACTACTTATACTATTACTACTACTACTTATACTACTGCTACTACTTATACTACTGCTACTACTACTTATACTACTGCTACTACTTATACTACTGCTACTACTTATATTACTGCTACTACTACTTATACTACTACTACTTATACTACTGCTACTACTACTTATACTACTACTACTACTACTACCACAATTCGACAGCTACAATTACTCCTGCAAGTACACCACTACTCTGACGACCGCTGATACTATTACTGATAGTATTCTACTGCTCATATTACAACTACTACCACTATCTACTCCCATTCTGCTACTACTTATACTACTAATATTATTATTTTACTACTACTTGTACAACCTCTATGACCACTAATACTAACCACCATTAATAATGATACTGTTCCTATTATCCTTTCTACTTGTACTTTTACTGCCACTTCTACAGTATTATTAACTAATCCTAACTACTTCAACTTCTGGTCGAACTATTACTGCTCCACTTGAATCAGTTTCCTGTCAGTCACATGTTTCATAACTTCTTTTTTTGCAACTTCCAGAAGAAAAATAAAAAGGAAATCCTCCACCTCTGCCTGGGTGTGAAATATGAGCTCCTGCTTCACTTTGATTGAGGCTCGCATCCACAGAACAGCCCTTCGTTTCCTACGATAATTAAATGTAACATAATTAAAAGTTTCCAACAACTTCTCCCCAAGTTGGACGCTCATGAAGTGGCCAGCTTTGATGTGAGTGTGAGGAAGTGGAACTGCTGGGAAATTAGGTCAAAATGTGAAATTATCTTCCACCAGTAACACGGAGCCAACGTGGTAATTAACAAGACCAGGGGCCAGATGTACTGTATGAATGATGCATAGGCACAAAAACCATGCATACGCCATTCTGACCCCATAAACTGATCATTATAAAAGAAGAATGTGCACAGCTGACACAGACTTCAGACCAGGGTCATTGTGAAGCACCCTGTGAAGTTAGGAGCCCTATAAATTAAAGCTCCCCTCCAGACATGTGTTATGATGTGTGTTTTCTTAAAAAAAAGAAAAACATCTATGAAATATGCAAATTTAGTTCATTTGTAAAGTGATCCTGTTGAACACAAGATGTTTCCTCCTGTACTGTAGAGTCTCAGTGTCTGTGCTCTGGTGGATCTCACTGTACAAGCTGGATACTGGACCAGGATTGACTTCCTGAACTATTTGTGATGTCACAAATCATGCTTGTAAGACCCGCCCCTTAAAATCAGACATTAAATGAGCTCAGAGAAACTTTCTACTTTCAGCAGATTAATGTGAAAACATCCTTCTAGAGTCAAACTCATCATTCAAACATCAGACTGCAGGAACAAGAACAAACACTGATTTCTGACTGCAGGGAGCTTTAATCATTGATCATCTTTCTGATGAACAAATTCCCCCCCGGGAATCAATAAAGTATTTTTGATTCTAATTCTGATGTTTGATAATGATGATTGAGATGTCACCATGAAGATGGTTCACAGGTACACGTGATGAATTAATGGTATGAATACTAAACACTCACAGTTGTGCGTAATAACAGCAGTTCTGGTGCTGCTGTAGAGCCTTAATGCTTCTGTAAAATATTTGTATGCAGATGGATGTTTACGAGCGTTTCTACGTCTATTTAACTGTGGGAGTAATGAGGCTCGTGTTTGTGCGTCCAGCTCCATGTGTATAACAACTGTTGGAGGTTCTGGGTGCTGTGGTTGTGGAGGTTGGAGGTTCTGGGTGCTTTGGCGTTGTGGAGTCTGATGGTTGATGATAAAAAGGAGAGTCCGAAGCGCTTTAAGGCTCGGGGCTGGCTCATTCTGTGGCTGAAAGTGCTCCTGAGCTTCCTGAGCTCAGTGCAGAAGAGGATCAGACGGGTTGTTCATGATGGCTTTCAGTTTCCCTCTCATCCTCTTCTCAGTCACTGCCTCCACACTGTCCAGCACACGTTGAATGACCTGAGCCTCCTCAGAACAACCTGCTCTGTCCTTTCCTGTAGAGGAATCGCTGTTTGGGCGACAATTTTGTTTCCTTGGGTAAACATGAAACTTGTGCACGTGACATCTTACATTTTAAACTAAAGACTGCATGTAGCATCGACACTGCCGCTGGCTAATCTTGGCTTAAAAACACTTTTTGTTTATTCTTCCAACCTCACAAAGTCGAAACATGAAGGAGCAAATATTTTTATACTTCTGAAAAACTAATCTTAGCTCTTGAATTTACTATCAACTGAGGGCAGAAAAGGCTTTTAATTCCAGGTTTGGTTCTCACCCTCAACGACGTAATCAGACATCACATGCTGCAAACAGCTGACAAGTTTTCTTGCAACTGTTACTTTTAATCTCATAAGTGTAAAGGTGTTCGTGCCACGGT